CTTCCTCTCAGGCTTAACTTTACTCCCAATTTTCTCTACCTCCTCGCCCCAAGCTGTGCAGGGGAACGGGGAATGAGGGTTGGGGTCAGTTCATCACACGTTGTCTCTGCTGCTCCTTCCTCCTCAGGGGGAGGGCTCCTCACTCTTCCCCTGCTCCAGCGTGGGGTCCCTCCCATGGGAGACGGTCATCCACGAACTTCTCCAGTGTGAGTCCTTCCCATGGGCTGCAGTTCTTCACGAACTGCTCCAGCGTGGGTCCCTTCCACAGGCTGCAGTCCTTCAGGCACAGACTGCTCCAGCACGGGCTTTCCCATGGAGTCCCGGCCATCTTGGGCAGCATCCCCCTGCTCCGGCGTGGGGTCCTCCCCATGCTGCAGGTGGGCATCAGCTCCCCCGCTCCCCTCCATGGTCTGGGGGGGCACAGCCTGCTGTCTCACCACAGGCTGCAGGGGAATCTCCTCCTCCCCTCCTTCTTCACTGACCTTGCTGTCTTCAGAGTTGTTTCTCTCACATGTTCTCACTTCTCTCTCTGGCTGCCATTGCTGTTGTGCAGCAATTTTTCCCCCTTCTTAAGTACGTTATCCCAGAGGCACTACCAACATCGCTGATGGGCTCAGCCTTGGCCAGCAGCAGGTCTGTCTTGGAGGCAGCTGCACTGGCTGTGTCAGACGTAGGGGAAGCTGCTAGCAGCTTTTCACAGAAACCATCCTTGTAGCCTCCCCTGCTACCAAAACTTGCCATGCAAACCCCATACATTACCCAACACAGCAACCTTGCTAATGATCAGATAGGATCTGCAGACTCCTAAGTGAGCATGCTTCTTAATATCAAAGGCACATGCAGGCTGCTTCATGCCCTCCCAACCTCCTCTGCTCTATCGTGCTTCTTCAAGGAAGCGTCTGTCTGGAAAACTAGTGAAAAGCTAGCAGGAACCTGGATTTTGTTATAGCTGTCTCTCCCGCAACTGTACCAGCCCTGTTGGTATTGCTAATGATTGCCTGTTGGCTCTGCAAGCCATCACACCTGTGCTCACAGTGTGCTCAGTCACCCATAATGGTTTCATGGGAAGGGGGATGACAAACCATGCATGTGAGTATTTCACTAGGTAATACAGTAAAATGTAGAACAGCCAAGTGAAATGAAAGCTAAACAACTTATTTCAAATACTTACAAATGCCATGTAAAGAACATTGTTGGAGCTTTGCTGTTATACTGCTCCTGCCAGTAATTAGTGATTTCTGTGAAATAGCTGGGGAGCAGCCTTGTTTCATTCTGGCTTCCCCATCTCCAAGTCTCTGTCCTTCACCTTGTATCTCTGCTGCATTAGCTTTTCTTTGATCATTCAACAGCAAACTCACCATACACGAAATAACCAGTGCCTGAAAATCACAGTTTTCTGCTTTTTTGTTTGTTCCTGTATGTCCCATTTTCTCTGTATTTGGCAGGAGTACCTATTAACCCTTCCTCATTCTTCCGGTGCCCAAGAGTTGCCCAGAATTAGGCAGTTTGTAGGGTCAGCATCTATTTTCCATCAAGCTGCACTGCCTTCCTGGAAGTTCACTGCACATACTGGAATGCTGCAGGCAATACAGGCAGTCACAGACATGGAAACCCTTTTCATAGCCAGCACCAGAAACAGCCAGGTGCTGCGGACAAGCTATGCCTATGCCTTCTGGTAGGACCATGCCCTCAATGTCTCAAGCTAAGCAGTGGCCTTGAGGCTGGGGGAGACATGCAAACACAGGTCTCATCTAAGTCCAATGGGGAATACTTGACTACCGTATTGGAAAGTGTGGGATGACTCAGAAAGAAAGAGCATCTTAGCTTTTCATTCCTTGAGAATTGCCCAGGTGCATAGTTGTCAGGTTTCACACAAAAGTTAGCACAGCTCGGTCAGTGGAAAGTTATGATCTTAGGATTCATGCTCATGTGGGTATAGCATCAGCCAATATGGGGCAGACTTTAAAGAAAAATGCCATTTACTTATCAAGGCTAGGCTGTGCTTCCTTCTCTCACCTTGTCTTTACTGTGCTGGTTACATGTCTGATCGCAGATTCTGAGAGAACTACTTTAATTTGCGAAATTACAGACTTTTGTTAAAGTGTTGGACCCTGAAAGTAACATCTTCAGAAGTGCCTAAATCAGTCATATTCCTAAAAAGGACTCAGTTACTTAGAGTTTGGGAACCTGGCCTTCAAACAAACATCTGGGGGCAAAAACCAAATGAGCTAGAAGCCAGGCAAAGAGCTTACTACCTGGAACTGGGATTCACAAACTCTACCTGCTACACCAGGAGGAAGCACTTATGCAGAAAGCAGGCACTGAAAACCTCCTTCCCCAGTTCTGATTGACCTGATGGTTGGTGTGCGAAGCTGGAATTTATAGCCCAGGATTACTGCAAGAGATTGGCACCCCAAAGCTCCCTTGGGTGATGGTGGAAGTAGCAGTAGTTCATACTTGTAAGGCTCAAATACTAGGTTTCCTTGCCTCAAAGCCTGATGTGACTCATGCACTTCTCCACCAGCTTCCAGGAGCTTGTCCTAATACACCAAGGCTGAGTAGGCCCCCCATTCCCCGTGGAAGCCATCACATTTTGGCCACCAGTGTCCCAGCATTCATAGCATCCAGGAGGGAGATGAACTGTTGATTCATGCCTAAGAAATTTGGCTGGGGACACAGGCATGGATGTTCCTACTGCACTTACGTTGCATTGGGGTTGTTTGCTCCAAGCCACTAAATAAGTGAAAGAAGTGGTTAAATAGGAAGTCTTGTATCATTCAGACCAACACGTTGCAATAGGACTCAGTAATAGCATAGAAATCGTCATGGAGAGACCTACTGCAGGAAGAAGACACGTAGCAGCTAAGTCCAGATTCATCAACTGAATGAGTAATCTGAGTTGGAGAAGACCATTAGTGCTTGTACCAAGCAATCGATAGAAAGCAGAGAGCAATGGTCCATTTAAAAGGCTCAGGCAGGCCTTAGCTGCCTTGACAGAAAGTGAAACCTGTAAGCTTGTTTTCGAGTCAGGTGCCTTTTGTGAATTATACAGCCTCTTAAAGCATTGGCAGCTTGTCTCAGCGCTGTGTATTTGTAGTCAGTGCTGAGCTTCTGATGTACATGGGTGGAAGTTGGGTTGTATTTAGGGTTGTAAACGTTTGCCTCCATAAAACCCCACTTTATCCTTCTGTTTCTGAATAGCAAAATTCATGTGGCCTGCAAAATACCAGCCTTTTATTCTGGAGACAGAGATAACCAATGCATTTGCAAGTTCCAGTCCTGAGGAATTACCCTGATTTAAGGTTTTGACTTCGATCCTGTATCAGTGTCTTTGTTGCTCATGCCAGAGAGGTTATTAATCTGATCCTTTTCCTGCCAAGTTCAATGAGCATTTATTCACCTCCTCTGTCAGCAGGAACAGGGCTGGGCATGGTTTGTACGAGTATGTACCCTTCTCTGCAGCCTCCTCAGCCATGCTCATTATCACGCTATCTAAGCACCTCTGCTGCTTATTTGTCCCTCAAAAAGGCAGCCTTGGGCATGTGTCTCCCTGCTCTTACCTGTGTGGAAGGGACAGAGTTGGCCCACCTTGCATTTGCACACCCTGGTAGGCACGCTGCTTTTCTATGACAAGTGGGAAAAGGTGCTTTTCTCTCCAAGGGGTATAAAATCTGCCAGAGAAAAAATGTATCAGCACATTTCACATACTGCAGGGGAAGCAGAAGCAAAATGAATTCACTATTCAGGTTCCCCAGCAAGCACTCTGGTAAACCCCTGTTATTCAGGCAAGCCACAAAAGTAGTTCCCAATAGTTCTCACACTCTGGACAACATTTTTAACCAGGCCCTTTCCTGCCTGACCGGCCCCATGCTCGGCTTTTCCCTGCAAGCCTTGTCTGGCATTGCAGGATGAGATTGAGGCAGTTAGCTCAACTTTTGCAGCTAATTGCTAACTCAACCCAACTGATTTCCCACAAGAAACAAGGAAGGACTTTGAATCAGAAAATTGAATACCAGTTTATATGAAAACCCATCACCTGTGGGCTCCTATCCCTACTGGAGGCAGGGCCATGTTAATACAGCACAGATATTGCATACTGGCAGAAGGCTTAGGTTTAGGACTTGAATTCTAGTTGTGATCCTGTGGTGGGAAGTTATTAAAAGAAATAGTCTTTCCTAAAGGAAAAGCTAATTTAAATCCCCTTTTGCACTGAATACATAAAGAAAGCTTGACATACTGTCTGTGTTTTAAGGTACATTTCAGCACTGAGTAGAACACACTGAAAATCTAAGCAAACAATATGCTGTTTAAAAATACAGCTGCAAAATGGTTCACTTTTTTTTAAACAAAGAAAGCAAAGTCCCAAGAATCAATGCGAGATAAAAGAGAAAAACACATGGGGGACATCACAGATTGCTAGGAGGAGAAGCAGGGCAGGCAGCAACACTTTCTGCTGTAGGGTATGTTAGTCTGGTGAGTTGCCGTCTAGGAAAATAGTAATAACTCAAGCCTGGTGTCAAACTAGGCTGGACTAACACTAAATGATGGTGCTGCTTTGATGGAGACACTGTTCTATCCCCACTGGGCCCCTCAGCATCAACCTCAATAGGAGGAGGAGAGGTAGAAGGATAGATTCCCTTGCTTGGCACAGTCTTAGGGTCCATGCAGCAGTCAGGTGCAAGTAGAGGCAAGGTCTGTGCTCTTTCTCTGCCTCAGCTGGGTCTCATCCAGAAGCTCTGTGACCATCTTAGTGTGGCATTGTCAACAAGCTGCCGTGAGTCAAGGTACTTTAGGTTTAGGCCCTGGTGACCTTGGATGCAATGGGACACAGTTCATCCAGCCTTTGCAGTGTCCCGCCTTGGGAGATGGAGAGCTCATGTCCTTTGCTATTAACTCTGCTACACCTTTTGCCGCTATCAAATCTGTGTTTCTGCAGCTGTGTAGTGGCCAGCCAGGCTGTTGCCTTAATTTTGCTTTTCCCCTTTGTATCCCATATGCAGAGAAGCAGAGGGAGCTGGCTCGGAAGGGCTCCCTGAAGAACGGCAACATGGGAAGCCCAGTTAATCAGCAGCCCAAGAAGAACAACGTGATGGCACGAACAAGGTAAGGGACTGGAAAAGCACTCAGCCGTGCTCTAAGCTGCAATTCCTAATGGCCTTAGGATGGGCAAGGACAACATTCATTGCCATTTGCCTACTGCCAAACATGCTGCCAGAGCAGTGATGGCCCTTCCCAGAGGTGGCAGGCCCAAATGCTCTGTGCTGTGTTGCATCCCATCCCCTGGGGAGACGCAGGGACAGCTGACCCCAGGACCAGTGACAGTGCAGCCTGCAGGAGGCAGAGGCAGCCCAGCCTGGTCGAAATCAGGGGTTTGCTACAGCTGTCTTGCATGTTCTGGGTAGCCTCATGTAACACATAATCCTGCCAGCTGGAGAGGTACGGTGCTGCTTCATGTAATGCAAACTGGTTTAGAGCTTAGTTCTGCTTTAACTGCTTTTATTGCAGTAGTTCCCCGGCTCCTTTTTGATGATGACCCCTTCCTCATACTGATTGACTTAATGAAGGCTTGTGTGTGCTTTGCTATACACCCTCTCTGCACTTTGAACAGCATGGTCATACTTTGCTGGAGCTGCTCTGGCCCATCTCTGTATGACAGTATCAAGACTGTGCTACAAATCACTGTAAACAAAGATGTTCCTAGCTGAATACGTTCTTTTAGAATATTTCTATTTTTCCCATGCAAGCTTCAGTACACCAATGTATTACTTACCTGTATTCAGGAGGCAAGAAACCCCATGGGCCCAGGGGACTGCACACTTTGCATGTTACTAGAAAGGTGGCAGTTTTTAGTGGAAGACCTCACTTAAAATGACAGAAGAATCTGTGTGAATGCTGGGTGTTTACTGATGAATGAGAAAGTTGCATGGATTACCATATATTAAGTAGAACAGGAGCTGCAGGTCAGAGCCTCTCTGTATGCGGCACATCCAACAGATGAGGTTCCTTGTTCACATTAATTCCCCAAACCCAAAATAGTCATAAATCATGCCAAGACTTTGTCAAGTTTTATTTGTATGGTCCTGCAATGTTGGTGGAATACACTGCATTGCTCCCTGCTCTGTGTTTGATTGTTGAGACCATATAAAGGAGCCAGGGCCTTTGAGGCAACAAGAAATTTAGCAAATGCTTTCAGCTGGGTTTTCCATGCCCACTGTTCCTCCCTGTCTTGCAAATACAAGCTGGAAAGACTTGGTTTCTTTTCCCAATAGGCTGCATGTTAGCTTCCCAAGAGGAATGGTAGCAGATTTGCTGCTTGAGAGATTTAGAAACACTGAAACTAGCAGAGAAGGATGGTAAGGGAGAGAAGATAGCATAAGTACAGGTGCCTACCTATAAAATTAGTGACTTGTGCTTGGAGAGCTGCTGGTGGAAAGAAGAGTGATTTGAATGGGGAAGAGCAGAGCAGTGACACCTATTGACAAAAGCTTTTGAACAGCCAGCTCAGTTTTATTCCATTTGTGGACATCTGAGCGCTATTCAGAGGATATGTGGACCCCTCCGCAGCCAAACATAGCCTGTCAGCAGTAGACTTGCTTTTCTTGGTTACTTTTCACACAGCTTTTGGAAGCATCCCTTGGGATCTGCAAAGCAGAGGTTTGCAGCTATTGCTTTAGTAGCAGATGTAGTCAAGCTCCATTGTTCCCATATGGCTGGGAGGTGGGTCTCACTGACCCAAGTCCCTTCATCCTCCTGCTCCCTTGGCTTTCTGGGAACCAAGCTGCACCATGAGCACAGCCCTAGTGATACCTCAGAATGGTTTGGTCTGTCTTGCCACAGACCTGGCAACCCCAGGAAGGCAGAAATGCCACAAGCTTGTTCAAGCAGCATCTTTTCACAGTGTAACGGTTGCAATACAATGGGAGATACTCCAGTGGGATACGCTGCAGAACGTCCAGGTTATGGTTTAAATCTGAACTGTTGGCTTCCTCTGTCTCTGCAGGAGGAGAATAAGCTAAAGCCATTTCCCCCTTTTTAACAGTTCTGCTATTCTCATCAAATATGTTTTCTTTGTTCAGGCAAACCACATTGCCTCTCCTAGTCTCTACTCCAACTCCTCCTCCTTGCCCTGTTCTTTATTATCTGTATGAATTTCTGACATCCAGCCTCCAGTACCAGATTGTCTTCACCATTCGGTCTTCTCTTGGGGCAGGGGCACAGCCAGCCTTAGAGGTGAAAGGATCTGGATCCTTAACATGCTCAGTCTCCCTAAGAGCAACTAAAATGTGAACAAGGTTGGGGTGATACTGGAACACTTGCTATGAACACAGGCAGAGCCCACAACACCTTCCGCACTACTTGGGCACAGCCAGATATTGCAGTACACTCTGAGGATAACCTAAATTTGGATTTGTATCATAATGTATTTCATGTTAAGTGAGCAAAAACACCAAGAAGCTCCTACTGGGACAGCTGCAGATGAAAGCAGCTATGACTGCTACCAGGCTTTATTCTGAGGATGGTGGAAAGTGAAAATAAGGACAATCAGGATGTGAGGGAAAGACTTAGATCAGGGGCAGAGACATTGTCACAATTTTCATCTGTTGCAGAAAAATTGAAGTTCTGTGTTATTAAGAGAAAAGAGATTCTGAAGAAAAAGATGTAGTGATTTTTTTTTTTTTAATCAAGTAAATAGCACCACAAAGGTTCTTCTCCTAGATCCCCAGATAGTGCTTTGTTCACTCATGATATAGTAACAACTGACAGTGAGTATATGTGGAGCAGTGACTTGAAAACTGGAGAGCGAGAATGGAAGTCAGTACTTCTGATATCTGTATGGGCGGGCTGCTGCTGCCAGATCACAGCTTCAGTTCCAGACATCTTTGCTTCTTGACTTCCTTCCTACATGCTTCAGGAGCAGAAGGACTGTCCCAGTCCTATGAGAAGGGGTATTGAATTTTGCAAGTGGATCCCATTTTCTCCAGTCCTCTGGTTCAGCAGGTTGGAAATTCTGCATCAGTTTTAAAATTTACTTCTTTAATGTTGCATTTCAATGAGCCCAGTAAGAAAATACAAGTAGTCATGAACGTATATATCTGGTTTGTGTTAACATTTGAAATATTTTACTCTCCCTGAGCCTGCCTATCTTCAGTGCCAGGCAGGCCTTTGTATTGCTAAAATTATAATGGCTTCCTGAAATTTTCTAAGCAGAAGCAGAAAAGTGTTTCAGGTAGTTAGAGAGCAGTTGGAGCATGGATGAGATGGATTATCATCTTTAGATTTGTATTTCCCAAACTCTTAGTGAAGCATCCTTGTGCATCATTGTGTGTTGTTAAAGACCAGTTCTTCATTTGGGAGAAAACCTGAGTTAACCCACTGAACAACTTGGATTTTCATCACTCTTACAGTTCCCACCTGCTGAACTTAGAATCTTACTGCATTTGTTCGGTTTGGTTAATCTTGTTTTAAATATGAACCAAAGTCTCTGTGGAGTTTTCTGGATGAAAAAACTCTGTTGTGAACTAGATCTCATTGTATTAATGCTTTTTCCTTACCCTAGAAGCTCTGAAACCTATATTCCATTTCACAAACTCTCTCAAGCACTTAAAGGTGCAAAGTCATCATCAGCCTTTGTAACACTTGATGAAGTGAAAGTCATTATGAAATAATGGGATTTTAAAAGTACTAGTCTGACTGGGCTCTTAGGCTGCACCCACCAGCTCATATTTCTCATAGTACTGAATTTAGGACTGAGACCTCAGACGTGTTGTGTTGGGGGGCTGGGTAGGGACTGAGGCAGAAAGACCACACCCCTGATTTCCGATCGTAGAATAGTAGGAGCACTGAGCCTCTGCCTTCTCCTAGCCTCCTTCTCCTATTTACTTATTGCTAGTGTTGTGTACTCATTCCTAGGAAAAAAAAGCAACACAAAAATGAACAATCTGATACAACAAGCAGCGTTAGCCAAACAGGTTCACTGGAATGAAGCGCAGAGTGTCCCAAGATTTTTTATTCCAGGGAGGAGCATGTTCCCAAGGCATGTCCAGCGTTCATCCCTGTGAAACTGCTCTAAGCTACGCAGAGACACAGCTCACTCCCTCTGAATTGCACCCATTTAAATGCCTTCACCAATAAGGGAGTGCTTGCAGGGAAGTGAAACAGGGAAAACCTAACTATCATATAGCTTTGCCCTAAACTATGTGTGGTACTGAGCTTTACCGTGTTGTTAACGGACAAAATTTAATTATTTCAGGCTCGTCGTTCCCAATAAGGGCTATTCGTCGTTAGACCAGAGTCCAGATGAAAAGCCACTGGTAGCCCTGGATACGGACAGGTACGCTAAGTATTAATAAGATGATATACATTACTGTGCAAGCGAGTTTTCATGCCAGAGTGCAGCACTGAAGCTAACTCCTACTGAAACCGCTCTTGCAGGCTCTCACACTGTTCCTTGCTGTGCCCGTTGGCATATGCCGTAACAGGTCTGTGTGTGTAAACAAGTAGGAAGCCACATGAGTAACAAGTACTGTGCTGGAAAGACCTGAGGGTCACAGATGAAAGTTGCTCTCCAGGCTCCCTTGATGTAACTTCTCTGTGCCTCACGGCACAAGAAAGATAGAGCTAACCAGGGAATACAAGTCTCTCTAACTGTTTCCTTCTTTGCTATATCTTGTCCTTCCCTGCAGTGATGATGACTTTGACATGTCCAGATATTCCTCCTCCGGATACTCATCAGCTGAGGTGAGTTGTACTCTATCCTGCCATCCTTGACATGAATGCTAATAGCAGAGCAGCCAGAAACAGCTTAGAGTGGCCTTGTACTGCCAGAACTGGCTACACAACAGATTTACCAGTGGTGTAGACTCTGTGAGTCTGCAAGGGGCCATAGCAGAAACTGTGCCATGTTTCTTTCTTCCGTGGTGATCCAGTTGGCTCCATCCCTGCGCTGCCATGGCACAGAGATCTGCCCGTCGCCTGTTTTCACAGCTACCTTTGGCTTCACTCAAGCTTTTTCTAGTTCTGCTTAGTCCTGCAGTGTTGGCCCATGTGGTGGAAAAGCGTCAACTTCTCTGTCACGCCAGCTCTGCAACTGTATGCTTGCCAAGGACACAAATAAAGGATCTGAGGGTGTGCTGTGATTTCCAGTTCTTGGGGCGGTCAGGGTCACCTAGTGCATGTTTACTTGAAGCAGGCAGAAATTTCAGGGAGGACTTGCAGATATGAACCCTTGCCCTTTCAAAGAGAAAAGGCAGGAAGCTCAGGCTTTTTAATCCCTCTGCATTGCTTCTGAATATATTCCCAAACTCTCCCCTGAATTACTTGCTCAGCCTCTGGCTACTGCTTCTGCAGGATCTGATTTTACATCCAGGGTGCTGAGGAGCCATTCTACACACAAGCTGCTGGGAGCTCTTACCCCTTGTATCAATTCCTTGGGCAAAATACATCTGAAACACAGAGAAAAGGCCAAGAGCAGGAACCAGATCAAATGGGCCCATGTCTGGGCCCTGATGAAGTGTTGTTCACCCAGATCTGATTAGACAGCACTTGAATCTGAGATTACAAAAAGCCAAGAGGCTTTACCACCTTTCAACTACTATAGAGTGCCCCAGACTGAAAGGAGAGACTGCCTGACTGCCAATTGGTTTATTTACATTATTATTACATTACTTTAAATGAGGGCTTGTCTTCATGGAAAGATTATTCCAGAATAAAATAGTGTATCAACTTGCTACTCTGGAATATCTCACTCTAGATACTCCTGTTCTGGAAGAAGCTGGAACAGAAGGCAGCCCTCACCTGTGGTCAAAAACTGGGACTCTTACATTGGTGGGGCAGCTGCTGATGGTGGGGAAATACATTCCAGAATAAGGGACCTCCTTCATCTTCTGACCATCAGAAGTAAGAAGTCTCAGGTGTTTGACTGTTTGTCTCTTTGTCTGTAGCAGATCAACCAAGACTTGAACATCCAGCTGCTAAAGGATGGGTACCGGTTAGATGAGATCCCAGATGACGAGGACCTCGACCTAATCCCCCCTAAATCGGTCAACCCTACCTGCATGTGTTGCCAAGCCACCTCCTCCACCGCCTGTCACATCCAGTAGTGAGGCCGGCAGGCTGTGATCAGTGCTTTCCACTATAACTGTAAAACTTAACAGCCATTGCTTCCTCCTATGGTAGGACGTGCACCTCTTTGTGTTCATGGAGCCAGGAGAAACCAAAAAATTCATTTTATGATTGGTTGATAAGTTATTTTGAACTATGGTTAAACAAAATAGAAATTGCTCAAAGTGCCAGGCAGTGCCTGGCAGAACTGACTGGTCTGGAGAGTGAATGCAGGGGGGTCCAGAGATACCTCCTTGGTTTGTGTAGGCACTGGGGATGTTTTGTAAGGTGTCTTCCAGAATGGGAAGGGTCAGAGCGGGCTGAAGGCAATCCTGCCCACCAAAACCAGTCCATCTGGGAGATCAGGGGTGAGTCTGAGGTGTCAGGGGGTTTTACCAGTGAGAGGAGGTCAGTTCTTAATTCATTCACTAAAGCTGTTTTGCATAACCAAAATGATACTGTAACTGGGGCACAGGAATGGGAACGGAGCAGGGCATCCTTTCTTATGGCAAGGCTAGCCAGGACTAGCATGACACAATTCATTCACTTGTGAAGAGGACAAATAGGTGACATTTCACTGTGAGTCAGTACTAGCTAGAGCTGTCGTGTCACATATCCAGTGCCATCCACCCTTAGTTCCACATCAAATTATCACCAAACACATCAGAGTCAATCTGCAGGCCAGCCATGCTCTTCAGGGATTCAGTCCTTGCCCAAGAATACCATACTCCTGAGTTCAGTCCAGTCACATATACTGACTTCAGCCTATACTTAATTCCCATGAGACCCATCTGCTTCCAAAATTCTTAACTTTGTTTAACTAAGAAAAAATTAGTCCTACATGAGACAGGACTAGAGCTGTACAGTCTGAAGGTCAGTGCTGGAAAAGCTAGTTGAAGGAAGCATGTTTTTACAGTGCTCCGCTGTTGATGTTCTCTTGACACTGTGTCTCTTGGTGCCTGTGGGAGAGATTTGTTAACGCTGAAGGCTTCTTGTGTGGTGGCGTCAGACTTTAGGGGAGTTTTCACCAACAGCAGGATTATGAACAGCTTCAGCTGAAAAAAAAACATGAGAGGAAACTACTCTTTATCCCATCCCTGTCCACTTGTGAAACAGGCTTGGTCTGTGTTAGAGCTGTCCCATGTCAAGAGCAATTGTGTTTATTTGGTGCTGGAATAGTCAGGAAACCTGATGTTACATTAGGTCACTAGACTGAATTGCCAGTTCACCAGCAGATCGTTTTGAATACAAAATCATTTCTGGAATTAGGAAACGTGTCCTCTCCCTGGCCTGTCTTACACTGCTGGCTTCAGCATATCTGGGGCTTAGGTGAGAGATGGGCTGGCATTTTTCTTGGTGTTGAAATCTTTTGCCACAGGCACAACAGTGTGTTTTCCTGCCCTGCCAGGAGGAAACGACCACCTGCCTTAGGTCATCACTTGCTTTATAGCCTGGGGAAGAGAAAAAGAGAGGGCAGTTCTGAGCTTCCCATCAGAATTCCTGAGGCACAAGGCAGAGCCTGAGCTCCATGCTGACAGACAGATCCCCCATGTGAAATCTGCATGAAGTAAGCTGAGTCTTTAAGAAGTCCTCTTCATGATTAGGAGGAGATTTATTTAACATCCTGGGGTTTCACTCTGTGCAGTGCAAAGCACAATACCATCTACAACGTGAGCAAAAGAGCAGGCACACAAGATTCATGGGCTTTATTATGCACTTGCTGGTATTGACAACTGTTAAAGCTATGTTTGCCCCCTGCCCCGCCGCCCCTAAAACAGTGTGCTGCCACCTTGGCTCCAGGCCGTAGAAAGAGGACTGAGTGGTGCTGTTTGCTGAGCATCCTTGCCTCCTCATGCAGAAGTGCTGGTTAACTTGCCAGCTCCTCTAGGAGGAGTGTTCCTCAAGTGGATTCCTCTCCCTTTCTCACCACCTGATCATGCTGAGGGGGAATATTTCCAAAATATTTCTAAAGAAGCACAAAGCATCAGTTCTCCAATTCTACACTTCTTCATTTGTGTGCCTGCTTTCCTCTCCATTGCTAGCTCAGGTTGAGGTTAGCAAGTTGTCTGGAGGTTAGGGAAGAGCTCTAACAACACTGTGTAGAGAAAAAAGATAAAAGGGAAAAAACATTCCTTAAGGAGTCTTTTTTTTAAATGGGGAATATAGTCAAAACCTAACAGAAACACCATGGTCAAACCAAATCCTATAGGACATGAGTGCGTCTCTTTAAATCTTCACTATTCTAAAGAGGGACTTTGCAGTTCAGCATTGGTACCATGCAACGCCTTCATCACATTTATCCTCCTGGGTCAGCCTCTGTGCCTTCCAGCTGGGCTGGACAAGTTCAGCCTTTCCCACAGCCCTTGCTCAGGAGCTCAGAGCATCTCAGTGTGCCTGCTAGAGCAACAAGTCATCTGTTTACGTGGGTCAGCTGTGAAGGACTGCAGGTCCCACAGGTCTCTGTCATGCTGCCATCATGTTTGGTCTAGGACAGAATGAGGCTTGCTGACACTGTATCTCCCAGGGTTAATGCCTCCCCTCTGAAGGACAGACCTTCCCTGATAACCACTGCCCCATGGCACCACAACCAAGTCCTTTTATTGCCCCTATTGCTGGGTTTTGCATGCCATGTGCCCAGAGGCATTCTTCAACCCTGCAACTGCCCTCAGCCCTTTGCATTGTGTGGTGTGCATCTGCTTCTAGCATAACCCTTGAGGGAGGGAGAGAGATTAATTTAAATGTTACACCCAGTGCTTCCTCCAAATATAGACCGAAGCACAAGCCAAGTGTTTTTCCCTGTGCACGGAAGGAGTTTGTTGCACAAATAGCTGGTTTGGCATGACAGTACAGGACCATAAAATGGCAATTTTTTGGCTTCTCCTCTCTATGCTTTGTGTTCATATATTTTGTTAGGGGAATAAAGTAGAAAGGGTGGGGAAAAGTAGTTATCTGTGTAGGGTCATTATCAGGAAGGCTGAATGGATTAAGGCAATGCACATGTGGCTATCATGGAAATTGAACACTAACCCTTCTGAACTGCAGCCCCTTAAGCAGGTTATGACTATGTGGCAGGCTTGTTGGCTTGTTATGGAATATGGTGGACAGCCCATCAGTATGTATAAACCACAGATTGGGCTGGCCCCCCCTGTCTGGTCTCGTGTTCAGACCTTTGCTTCAGCCAGAAGGTTTTCTTTGTGCCCTTGTTGGATGTTAACACTGTGGCGACTTCCTGGGAAGGTGTATAGATACACGGCTGTTACGGCACTGCTCTCCTTAGACCAGTCTCTGCCTCCATGGCCGGGAGAAGGCAAAAGCAAAGAGCATGGATCCTGACCCTCTGTTGCAGCATTATAAAGCCCTAAAATCTGCAGAGCTGCTGGGCACTCTCCTAAATGCAGACTGCATGCAAGAAAGCAAATCGTTCCTTGTTCCAGTCTTTGCACCAAACCAGATGGTCTTCTCAGGCCCCATTTCAGCCCAAAGTTTTACAGAATAGCAAGGGGAGGAGCACCATGGAGTATGAAAGGCTGCATCGCTGTCCATCTAAATTACCATGCAAATAGGACTTAAGGATATTGATGCTGGTGCCTCCACAAAGGAATTTGCATTTGATGCCTCCTAAAGCCAGGCAGGCTTTTTGTAAGAATTTTATGTAATTTCAGTCACCAAATTACCTGAGTTTAAGGAAGTCCTTTCCTTTTATCAGGTGTTAACTTTGTCCTTTAATGTGAGCTGGCTTTGAACTCCAGGGTCTCAGCACTCAACTCTGTCCCTCCGGTCTGCAAACTCTCCATTTCCAGATGTCTGTGTGAGGACGAACATCCTCCTAGTGTTGAGGAAGGTCTTTAGATAGCATGGTCTAGTCTGTTTTTCTGGTGGTTGTAAATAAGCTTTGGCCAAAAGGAGGCTGATGTCCAGGCAATGATCCCGAAGGCTCATTTGATGTCTTATCAGATATATCTTGAAGCCAACCTTGGAAGAGCCACTGGATCATATCTGATGTTGCTGTGTGTCTAGCCCCAACATGTACTCTTGGCCATTGGGTGTGTTACGCTGTTCTGGCTGTCTTGCCTGCAGATACCTTGCAACTGCAAAAGCAGGCAACCAAGCCTGCTCCATGGACTTTGAAAGGGACTTCAGGATGCTCCCCCATAGACAGGATGGACCCAGCTGCTTCTGGTTTGTCTCTCTAGCTCCTTTCCCAAAAGGAGGCACCTGCTCTGCTCAGCTGTGTGCTGGCTGACACATTGGTCTGCGATCCCGAGCAGAATCCTTTCCTCTCTGTGCAGTCTGTCCTCAGGCTGGCCTGCAAGCTGTACAGCGGCATGCAGGAGACTTGAAAAGTACAGTGCCCTGTATGTGACTCAACAGAAACATGAAGATGCTTTTGAAGAAAGGAAGGACCCAGCTGGGCACCAGATGGAATGACAGGAAAAGGAAAACAAGCAGTAACTAGAAAGGTTGCCAAGTGCTGTTTTGGCCTAGGGCAGATCCCAGTTGTCTGAGTTAATCCATCTCAGTGCAGTGCTGATACCAGCAGGGAGCAAAGCTTGCTTTCAGATGCACATACCAGAAACACCATGTCCCTGAGCTGGCATCACAGCCAAATACTACTGCGGAGAGTCTGCTGGGCTGTTAGAGCACAGAAATGAGATCTGGGGTCCCTTGCTACCATTGGCACATGGTACATATTTGCTCTAACCTCAGGCAAGTCACATCCCCTCTTGATGCCCATTCCCTTCTGCAGCACAGGGGAGGAACCTGCCTTCCCAAGATGCTACCACCACCCTACATGGATTTTGCCAAGTGTGTGACAGGCACCATTGATAGGATAGCTCTGCAAGCAAGACACAAAAAACATGCCATAGAAATTTTATGCATATTTTCAAAGTACTACTCTGCTTTCCCTCTGTTAACCAGGTTCTGATGTTGCTTGCATGTGCCATAAGGCTGCAGGGTAGAAGTTAGTAGAGAGATTAAAAAGCTTTTGGGGAAGATGTTTGGCAAGGATGTCTTTCCCAGTTATTTGGCAGCTGGTTCTTGTACAATTGGCTTCTCAATCTGCATGCTGCCACAGGGAACATGTAAGAAGATTTGGTGGCCTAACAGCACCATCCCCTGCTAGTAGAATTAAGGAACTTCCTTAATTGTGCAACTGGGATAGCGAGTGCTGATGGGAGGGAAGAGACCACTGAAGGGTTCATTTGTGATATTCCCATGGCAGTTTCATGCTCTTTCTTTTAGCATCCATGTAATCATCTGAGGGTATAAACTGGCAGTTTTGCCTGGTCTCTTCCTTTACTTTTCCATTCTCCATTCACGCTCACATGGGGTATGGCCACTCTTACCTAGAATGAAGTAGGCTTTGTCACCTGGCTGCTGCTTGGCTCAACAAGCACAGGCTGTGTGTTCGAAAGAAATATCTGCATAGCTGGGCAGTGCCACAGGGCAAGCTGGGCTAGGTTGAGCCTAAGGGGAAGGCATGGGAAGGTCTTCATTTTGAGGTGCTTCTCACCTCTAGGAGAACATTGCATCCTTGTCACTTCCTTTCAAGGCCTTCCAGCGAGAGGAATTGCTCCACACCTTGAACCACATCTCATCAGCCAAACCCACCTTTGTTACAGAGCCACACAAGCCCTGAAGCAGAAGGGCCATTAATTTAGCATAGAGGAAGCGGTTGTGACCTGGGATTACCTACAGAAGATTAATGCAGGTTTCTCACAGGGGCTGGCATCTGTATTTTAACTCCCTGTATTATGCAGCTGATCTGCTGCATTGCTACCAAAAAATTACTACATCCCCTTCTTTACCCCCCTTGACACTGGTGGCAATCCCAGGATCACAGCAGCTAAATGCTACCTGGCTAAGCACTGCTTTGACAGCTTGCTGGGGAGGCAAGGCTGGGGACTAATTGAGATTACATGGAGCGAGCAGTATGGCCCATGCAGCTGTGCAGCAAGCAAGCCATGTCACAGAGCAGCACAGACACTGGCAGGACAGGTTGCAGATTTCCCTGGTGCCTGTGGAGAGCAGCTCTTCCTATTGCTTCCCAGACCCATCTACTGCTGGTGGTGGCTCTGAGCGTTTCTCTTTCTCTAAAAAGCTGCCCCAGCAAAAGATGCATTTGCTCCTAGGAGCCCACCTCAGTGGTTGTGCCTGGTCTGTGGAGCCATTTCCATAGTAACAAATGGTGACATCAGGGAGTGGAAGGTACAAAAAAAGCCTCATTAAAATGTGACCATCTCAGACGTGTCACTGAAAACCAGCACAGTAGGCACCAGGAAAAGAAAAGGCCACCAAAAGGCCATGCTAAGTCCCATTACCTGCTGATAGTTCTATTCTCCCAGAGCAGCATTTCTCCCTTAGTAGCCCATCCAGCTGCTCCAGGTGAGCTCACTGGAAAGCACTGCTCTCCACCCAGGCTGCCTTCTTGCTTCTGCACCCCAAAAAAGCTGTGACTCCATTTGTTACCCACCTTCCTCAAGCCTGCATGATTTGGGAGATGCAAAGATTGTTGGGAGATGTAATACAGATGCATGGCAAGAGCTGGAAAACTTGGACAAGCTGTCTTCACAACAGCACTTCTGGTTTTTATCACCTTCATCTCCATCCCCAGCTCACAGATTTCTTTGCTCAGTTTCTTTGCACAGAAAAGCTGCCGTGGCAGCTGTGTTCAGCTAGTAGCTGCCTCTGTCCTGAGACAAACCCAAGGCAAACATCTGACCAGCAGGAGATCCAACAAACGTGCTGGTGGGTGAGCCAGAGAGCAGGCTGGGGTTTCTTTTCACCTGCCTGAAGATCTGTGGGGCTCAGGGTTCACCAGTCTAGTGTAAAAACTTTGTGTGATCCAGCAAGCCAAGCCGGCCACCTTCACCCTCCTGGTCTCAGGGCTGCGGGAGGCCTGGGACCCAAGCGCCAGGTCCCAGACCTGCCAGCCCAGGTGCTTCTGGTGCGGGCTGGAGACCTGCAGCAGAGGCGTGGGTGGGATGCCTGCCGGCCATGCTCTTGCTGTGCTGGGGCAGGGCACTGTAAGACACGCTGGTAGGGCTGTAGTTCTGCAGGGAGAAAGACTCTTGCAGAGGATGAAGTCTTTGCAGGGGAGAAAATTCAGAAAGTTACACACACACACACACTTTTTGCACATTTTTAACCATTTTTACTCCTTCCACAGTGGTTATTGAACCTTCAGTTTAATAAAGGAAATGAGCCACCGTTAAATAGCTTTCTGAAGGGTCCGAAGTAGGCACTATTTGCATGCAGAGCTCGTCTGTGCCTAACATGGCAACTTCCAGACCTCATTGTATACCCTGTAGCTGAGTTACCCTGTGCGCTGTGGGGGGACTGGGGTGGGAGAGTCAGCGCTGGCCATCATGCCACACAGCCACGGCTTCCCAAACTGAAGAAGAATCGGACCAGGAGGTGGAGGAAGGAGCAGCGACAGTAGAAGGATAGCTAGTTGTCACAGGTAATCTTCAGTATCCATGTCCAGTGATTAGTCCTAGAATTGCAAGCCTTGTTATATTGCACTTATCCTCCTTCCACTCCTCTGTTCTCAAAGCAGCCATCGCCTTTCTTCCCCATGCACTAGTGATGAGCATCAGAGGCAGTTGCACCAAAGTGACTCTCAGCCCAGTTCTGCATCCCCCTCTCCCACCCAGTCCCAAGACAGCCTGGACAGTTGTTGGCCATCACAAGTCTAGTAACTCTGCTTGGGCTTCTTTCCTCGTGTATCATAGCTTTCTCCGCACACACTCTAGCAGGGCAGTACAGGAGGCTCTGACCATGTCCCAAGAAGCTTCTTTGCTCCCTGGCAGCACCTTGCAGACATGCACCTTACTGGGAATGTACTGGGTCAATGCTGATGAGATATGGCGCTGCTGATCTTGCATAGATGGCAGCTGATGGGGATCCACTGGGAGAAGCTGGCAGAAAGTGGCTACTGTCCCTTTTCTTTTCTTTTTTGAGGGAGAGGGGGATTTTTTTTTTGGCATTGTGATTATTGTCCACCTTCCAGTGGCCAAGTTCTGGGCTGCATTAATAATTGGGGTTCACTGGCTGTCCAGGCAGGTATGGAGCTTCACACCAACCTTAATAGCAAATGTGGCTGTATCCAGAGCCTGGATACAAGCTGGGTTTCTCCCACGCTGGCAAAGTGTTTTCATCAGGTTCCAGATAGACATTTCTGGCAGACAGGAAAACAGCACTCCTCCAAGTCTGGATCAGATCTGCACTTCCATTTCATGTCCTCAGCTTGGAAAAAACTCAACCCAAGCAAATGCTTCCCAGGTCTCCTTTTCACATGTGGTGCCTGGCACCCCAGGGAGGGGGTAGCAGGAGGCATTTCAGGACCACCAAAAGCAAGATCCTTTTTGGATGTATTTAATGGAAATATCTTTCAGGAGGAGAGAACTCCCAACCTTTGCATTAATCTCAAGAGCAAGAGATGAATTTCCAGCTGTCCTTGCATATAGTGAAACATAGCTGAAACAGCCAAATGCAAAGTAGAGTTAAATGTAGGGTTTGACCTGAATAACCTTTTAATTAGGAAGATAAATTTGTTGTAGCTTGACCTTAGTCCATGTTAGGAACCTGCTAATCATTTGACATGCAGAGTGTATTAATGCTGCACTTAACTTGGCCATTGGTTTTATTATCTGGTTTGGGGAGTTTTTTTTACTCCCAAAGCATCAGTCTGCATCTTGTATGGATTTTCCTTTCTTTCTTTTTTTTCCCATTCAGAACATGTAGCACACTGTTGTACTTATGTTCCCGTCTGCGTAGAGTATTGCCTTAAACAGATCAGTTGTGTTGTGATTTGTTTTGGGTTTTCTTTTTTCTACCATCAGTTTGATGCATTAATTTATTTAAAAATGTGGGGGTTTGTTTTTTTTTTTCAAAAACATGAAACATGTATAATATTTTTTTTAACATTTCCATTGCAGTATTTATCATTGTTACTGGTTGTGTGTAGTGTAACAGAATTAATGATATTAAAAAGCATACATATGAAAACCAGCCTGCCAGCCTTTCTCATTGTGGTGAACTGGGGTGAAAGTGTACAAACAGCACCATCTCCTCTGAGTCCCCAGCAGTCATGGATACTGAAATCAGGGGGTGCCAGTGGCTCATGCTGGCAGCCGGTCCAGTGCAGGATTAGTCCCCCCCAACCAAGAGGCTTGGACTCCACCTCTCTGCAGAGCAGTGCTCCCCAGATCTGTGCCCTGGGGTGCTCCAAGGCCACAGAGCTGGGGGCAAGGGGGTAGGCACCCCCATGTCCACCCCTCCCTCCCAGCCTCCCACAAGGGGATGGAGCTGATGGAGAGCCTAAGCCTGGCTCAACAGAGACCAGTGGGGTGTGAAAATCAACAGCAGCTTGTTTTCTTCATTTCATCTCTTAACAGCACATTAATCACGTTTGCCTGGAGGCATTTGGGTGCCCCAGGCTGCCCAGCCCCACCGTCACCCGCAGCAAATGGAGGCGGCGGGTTGGCATCCACCCTGCCAAGATGGACATTGGTCTTCACTGGTTGTCTCCAAAAACGTGGCGGCAGAGGGGCCAGAGCCAGGAGCCGAGCAGGGCTCTGAGTTGGTGCTGTGTGACAAACCAGGCCAGCGTGGGGTTTTGCAGGGGTAGGGTTTTCTGCCCAACTCTCCAGCTTGGGGAAAAGCAAACCCAGGTCATGCAAATCCCTCCCTGGCATAACCCAGCTGCCTCTCTGCACTGAGATGCACAGGGACTGCTCACTCTGACTGCAGAGCCCATCACTCAGGACAAAAGAACAAACAAGCCACACAGGATCACCTAAACCCAGCTTTTTAACTGAAAAGGGGAGACAGAGCAGGTGGTAATTCCCCTGACTACCCCAGCAGGCTGGGACAGTGGTGCCTGGTGCTGTGCCCCAGGCATTAGCTGCACTGGTGTGGTGCTCTGTGCGTGCAGCTGGGTTGCTGCAGGATTTCCAAAGAAATATGGGAGAGAGGGGCTGGAAAAGCCACAGTCACTGCTTCTGCACCTCCCAAAATAAAATTATCTTGACTAGGACCAGCTGAAACTGTTTCCTACCGTTGTTAAGGTAATTGCCTGCAGGAGGGGAGGAAGCCTGGGGCCAGGACAAAGCCAGGAGGGTGCAGTCCACTGAGGGATGTGGGCAGCAATTGCTGTGCCCTAGGCTAGAACCAGGGTGTACCTATGAGACTGACAGAAAGCTACCAAATCTGCCTGCTCCCGCACTATGACATCACTGATCACATAAGGACCACCCTGAGCTGGCAGAGCAGTGGCACTAGCCCCATTCTCCCTCCTGCATGGGCTGCAAGCCCCCAGCCCTACATAGCACTGCTCATCCAGTGGGGCATACCCAGGACCCTCTAAGACTCCAAGCACTCCTGTCCCAGTGGGCTGCTGCACCATGTTCCTCTTCTCCAAGAAACACAAGACCCCCATCAGCACTTACACCGACTCCTACCGCCCGCCATGCTCTGTCAAAAAGACCATCCATGAGCAGGCTCCACAGGAGCTCTGGAAAGAAAACAAGTTTGTTACGCAGGTAAATGCTGGGGGAGAGGGAGACCTCAGGGTTTCTACCCCTACCCTGCTGTGCATGCTCGGTGCCGGGCAGGGGTGTGGGATGGGGACTCACGGTGTGCCTCACTGCATGTGTCTAATGGGGGGGGTCATGCTCCCTGGTTAGGAAAGTGTTTGACACCCTATGGCCTGTTCTTGTTGGCTTCTTGTCCCCTGGAGCTGCACCCTGCAGTGGCTTTGGGTTCTCAGGGCTGGCAGTCACCAGCACAAGCTCTCATGTCAGCCCTGTCCATCAGTAGGTTTCAGAGTGCACAGGGGGCAGGATCTGCTGAGGAGGGGGAAACTGAGGCAGTGTCAGGGCTCAGGGCTTCTGTGTGATACAGTGGCAATGGGGAGGCAGATCAGGTGGCTCTGAGAGCTGCTCCAACACCTAGACTGCAGGCTCAGCTCAGTTCCGACTGAGGGGCCTTCCGTGCCTGGGGGACTATGCGAAGGTTCGGGGGAGATCTGAGCACTGAATAAACCCTCCCAGCCCTGGTCCTGGAGGAGGAGGGATCCCTGAGTTGTGGCCTTACTGTGGGGGGCATCTGTGGCACATGCAGCTTTCCCCACACGGGCTAACAAGCATGCAGGCTCTGATGCAAAGCATGCTGCAAACTGACTCATCTCTTGCAGCCTCATTAGCATGTGCATTATAATGAGGGAGCCAGCAGAGGGCATGGAGAGGGATATCCCCACTGTGCAGGGACAGAAATAGCTCACGCAACCAAGGCACCCATCTGCCCCACACGACCCCAGCCTTCTTGGGCTTTGCCAGCTGTAGAACATTGTTTTGGTCCTGTAACTCCTTTCCCAACCTCTGCTGGGCCCATACCTGGCAGTCCCAGTGCACCCACCCCTTGTCCCACCCTGCAAAGTGCACGGACGCCTATGGACACGCTGGGTGCAGGGGGAGAGGAGCCAGCGATGCCCAGCCATGCTCCGTCCCCTGTGTTTGGGTGAGCAGGAAGTTTGGGGAGGGGAGGGGGAGGATCACGGTGCTGCTATGACCCCCATGCCCCCACACTGTGAAGGACAGTTTGGTGCTCAGATCTCCAGCTGTGTCTCCAGCGTTAGACCCTGCCCGGTAATCGGCTTCACCAGGTGCCCCAATGGCCGTGACAGCAGACGCTGCCGCAAGGCCTGGGTGTCTCTCCTCACTCCCCACTGTCTGCAGGGATTAACGATGCCCCGCGTGCAAAATCCGGTGAGCCAAGGTCAGCGTGAGCAGCTGATTAAGGCGGCAATGCAGGAGCACTACAGGAACACCATCGACCCCGCTGCCTATTGGCCTGAGAAGTACTGGCTGGCCAGGTTCGAAGGTACTGCCGAGGTCCCAGCTGTCCCCCTGTGTCACACGAGGCACATCCCCACGGGGTTGGGGGGCTGAGGGTGCTGGCAGCAGCTCTGTTCGTCCCCCCTTTTGCATCCTGCATCCCCCCCCAGTGGCAAAGGGACCCTCCGTCAGCATCTGCACTTTGCTGTGGCCACCCATCCCCATCCCTGCACTGAGACTGTCTCTGTTCCAGGGATGCCCGCCGGTCCCCAGGGTTCTCTCCCCCCGTGGCCCCTAAATAACCCCTGGTGGCAGGTGCTGCCTGGGGGACACCCTGCTGGCATAGCCCCATAGCCCCCAGGGACCAAGGCTGTGTGGGCAGGGATGAGTGACCAGCAAGCAGGCAGTGGTGGGTGTCAGCTCCACCACACACTCTTAACAAGGACCCCAGGAGCAGCTCCTCTGACATGTCCCCTGGCCCTGTGACATTGCATTTCGGGGAGAGGGGGAACAGTCATTACTCTCTGGCTGTCCCCCCATGTCCCCAGAAGCACTGGACACCCCTGCCTGTCGCTTTTGTGTTGCAGAGAAGTACAACCCGGTTTTTGTCAATGAGGACAAATATGTCACCTGGAGAACAGGTCCCTACAACAGCGCAGCCTGGAATAAGCACTCCTCTTACCTTCCCCTCCTGCCCAAGGTAGAGTCTAGCCCCCCGCTCGCCCCAAACGTGAGCCACCACAGCTGCCACTGGCACCTCAGACTCTGCAGCAAAAGGGTGGCAATCCTGCAAGGGCTGCCATTGCTCCTTGCAGGTGACAAGGATGGAGACCTTCCTGCACAGTGTACCAGTGCCGTACCCCCCAAAACCCATCTGCCTCAATCAGTTTGGTAACTACCCTCACCCTGTCCCTGTACTCCAGCAGTAGCTGTGCCCGTGGCATGCTGGCGTCCATCCAGGTGATGGCCTGGCTGGTCCTCTTGGCCCTTACCCCTACCATCCCTCCACTTGCAGAGCGGGAGGTGATCACCAACATGCTGCACAGGCTGCCCGTGTACAGTGTGACAGGGAGGGGACCCTTCCAGGGCTACTACAGCCCCTGCTCTGGGCGCCACTACTGCCTGCGAGGGATGGACTACTACGTTGATGGGGGTCCTGCCATCAGAAGACATCTCCACACACTAGGAGAGAGGGCTGTAAGGTTGGGATGGGATGGGATGGGATTGGATTGGATAGGTTGCCTTAGGTTGGGTGGGATGGGTTGCCTTAGGTTGGGTGGGATGGGTTGCCTTGCATGGGGATGGGTTGAGTTGGGATAGACATGACCTCCCTTGTCCTTGGGGTCACCGCTCACCCTACCTCCTCTGTCTCTTGCAGGAGTATACCATGCTGCAGTTACAGCCCCAGAGCGATGTTCCATACATCTACACATCGCCCTCAGCCATCCTCCCCATACAAGAGCCTTAGGTGCAGACACATTCAGTGAGGGTAGCACTTCGAGCCAGTTGCCCTGGGCGAAAAGCCTATTATTTTTTCCTAGTGCCAGCCAGCCACTAGCTCTCTTTTCATTAGGGTTTCATACAGAATTCCTCAGAGGGTTATTCAGGGGACAATTGTGCAGACTGCAGACTCTAAGGGGTAGCGGATCCCATCACAGTGCCCACGCAGGCAGCAATGCAGCAGGCTAAGTGGATGTGACCAGGGAGGGCAGGACACCCTTGCGGTGCTGGGCTGTGGAGCGTGTTGTTGCTACCTGTGGAGAAGCAGTTGCCAAATTTACTCCCAGGTCAGGTGTTTCTATGCTTGATCTCATCCAGCAGTCCTTGGTATTGTACAGCACCTGGAATCTTGCTGGCACTGGAGCCTGGCTGCACGTAACTTAGGATCTCCCAGATTTTGGGGCCACATCAGTGTTTCTTGTGCTGCTCTTGTATTTTCTCTCGTCATTGTTTGCTCTTCTTATCCAAGAACCTGTTCTCTGGTCACGCTGTTCGTTATGCAGTAATCAGCCCTGTCCTTCACCCACTGCAGGTCCAGCAGCACCTTTTAATCCCCACATGTTTACCTGTAGGGTGTCTCCATTGCCGAGGCAGCTTTTTTCAGCCCTGGGGAAGCAGCAAGGGGAGAGGGGAGGCTGTTCAACCAGCTTAGTCATCACTCTGCTACTGCATCAATCCCCCTGCAGGCCAAAATTAGGCATCAGGCTTTGCAGAAAATGTGTGATTGGGTTTAAATTCCTGAGCTCAGAAACTAAAACCAAACCACAATGAGAACAAACGGGGAGCACTGGGTTCCCCCTAGATGTCCTTATGCCTGAGCTTCCGTGAGATGTTTCTCAAGATCTTCTCCACTGAGAAACAGGCAGATTTTCCTAACTGGCATGGCTCTGGGAATGAAGATTTTAGGAAAATGACAGTGTGAGAGAGTGGGTGTTTGCAGGATGGGAGACCCGCTGGAAACAGCTCGCTGCGATGGCAATGCCAGGGAGCTTCAACTCTTCTGCCTGGGCTTCCCTTTGGCCTCAGTGTCCAAAGACACACGCCAAAGTGGATGGGGGCAGCTGCATGTCCACTGCTCGCTCCTAAGCAATGCTGGCAACCAGGAGGTTTTCTGCTCTTCTTCCTCACTGGAGTTTCGTCCTCCTGTGGCTGATAACTTTATCTGCTCTCCTAGGTGGGACACGAGCCACTTCAAGAAGACAGGAGGAGTCCAGAGAGGCAGCTACATCATCCACCCTGAGTTTATGTCGGAGGCTTACTCTGCTCCGTGGCACTGGTGAAGAGCAAAGATGGGCTTTCATTAAAACTGGCTTGGGCAACTGTTACTCTCGGACCCTTTCCGACAGGCTGGGGAAGCTCCCGGGGAGGGGGGAGAAACCTCTGCGACTGCTGGCTTGGTGGGCACTTCAACAGCCCTCAGGGGCTAGTACCCTGCCACCGCCCGCAAGCTGGAGAGCAAGAAAGCATGCAAGGAAAAGCTCTCAGAGCGTAGTAACACAGCCAGAAATAGAAGCAGCTGTTGATACCCGTGTTTGTCAGCTTTGCGCTGGGCTGCTTCGGACGTGCTTGCTTTTGCCAAGTTATCTAGGAAGAGCTGCCATCCATCTGGGATACCGAGCAGGGACGCGGGCTAAATAAGGAGGGGGATTTGAAAGCAGCGCATAACTAATGAAGGCATGAAATGCCTTTCTCTGACTATGATCCGGGAGCCCGCTGTCAGCGGGGAACACCACCCGGCGCCTTCCGCATGTGCTGCAGATCCCAAACCCGCGAGGCTGCGGTCCCCACGGGAGGGATGCTCCAGCACAGAGGCACCCGGGGCTCCACGTTCCTGTGGGGCAGCACCCCAACCCTGCTTGGGACAAGAAAAAAAAAAAA